TATTACACACAAATATGACACTTATCAGAATTAGGTGGCCCACTAGATGTCATACCAAAATGCATTTTTCTAAAGCAAAAGTGGACTACTTCTCATAAAAAATTTAGGTAATCCATTTCGCTTTCCACGAAAGCACTCTAAACAACAAGAGGGTAAAACTGGAAAATTGACACTAATATTACACACAAATATGACGCTTATCAGAATGAAAAATGCTATTCATCCCCAGTGGAGATGCATCCCTAATCTATGTGGATGTAAATGATTGGTTAAATGATAGGTGAAATTGAATGACTTATTTAATTTCACCTATCATTTAATGCCACATTAACGCCACATAGATTGGGGATGCATCCCCAATAGGGATGAATAGCATTTCTCTATCAGAATTAGGTGGCCCACTAGATGTCATACCAAAATGCATTTTTCGATGATAATGCGGCACTTGTTTCTAAAGTAAAAGTGGACAACTTCTCATAAAAACTTTAGGTAATCCATTTCGCTTTCCACGAAAGCACTCTAAACAACAAGAGGGTAAAACTGGAAAATTGACACTAATATTACACACAAATATGACGCTTATCAGAATTAGTGTCTCACTAGATGTGATACCAAAATGCACTTGTTTCAAAAGCAAAAGTGGACTACTTCTCATAAAAAAAATTAGGTTGTTAAAATCAAAATCGTAAATTAGCTTTTGATCGTAAAATTAAGGAAAAAATTATTGCATTAGCTGTGTTGAGAACAATAGTGAATTTTAAACTCATAGCTTCTTAGGTTTTTCCCCCTAGTTTGAATTTTGAAGTAATTTGTTATCAATTTAGAGTACTCTTTAAAACTAGTATGAAGTATGAAAGAGAAATATATTATACTTGTACAAAATCCAAATTAAGGTCATGCTTACACAACAATTTTTTAGTTAACTCAAAGAGAACAATGCAACATGGGACCAAATTCATGTCTCGTGGTCCTTTCAAACATTAACATTGTATCGAGACTAATCGAGTTCGTTGTCAATAGACTCAATACTCAAGAGGAAGTGCATGGTTTTTTATTTTTTTACGATTACCAGAGAAGGAATTGCATCTTATGGCTATCCAAAAAGTCATAGAACTTCAAAGCCATTTGTCGTTTAATTTCATGATTTTCACTACAGCAAAATTTATATAAATTACCTTAGTTGGACGTCACATGGGAACAAAATGGATCAAGCACCTCAACCATTTTGTCACAACAGCAAGATAACTTTAACTTTTGTGTGTTTCAACTTAGTCACTTGATTTCGAAAAGTTTCAAACTAATCACCCAATTTAACTTATCCTATTAATCACTCAAACCATCAAATGTAATCAAAATTAACTTATGCGCTGATGAGGCAAATTGAATGCACGACAGAAAAAACACTAATTATCCTATATAACCTTGACCTATATGACATAAAAGTTAATACAATTAAAAACGACTACATATAAGTAGTCCAAAGGATTCAAACCCATATATCTTTTATATTTATTTTTACCTGTAACGGCGGGTTTATCTCTTATGAAATAAGAGAACTAGAAGCAACGGCTATGGGAGGTGGAGAAAGGGCTGCTTGTAGCTCATCTTTGTTAAGAATTAGGGGTCAATCTTAAAAGATCAACATTGTTAAGAGTAGCCCAAGATCTTTTATTAATTGGTTTATGTCAACATCATTTATCAATGTGGGATATCTATCCATTAACACACCCCCACAAGATGGTGGCTCATTTGAGCAGACCAATCTTGAAATTCACGTGCTCACTTTTGGAGTCTTAACGAGATCAAATCGCTCGTTGGAGCATAATGAGCTCTAATACCATATTAAAATTTGGGGGTCCATCTTAAAAGGTCAACCTTGTTAAGAGGAGTAGCCCAAAATCTTTTATTAATTGGTCTGTGTCAACATTATTTATCGACGTGGGATACATATCCCTTAAAAATCTTTATACATGAGAAGAACTTCTCTCTCATTCTATAGCACTCAATACAATCTTTTATTCCGATAAATTGTCCAAAAGTAGCTCTCGAACTCTGTCTATAATAGCACAAAATCTAACAACGGGGGATTTAACTAATCACTAATTATCATTTTTTGAGTAACTAATAATGTGGTAATAATTTATTTTAGGGTCATTCACCATTCAAAGCAACGCTCGTACATAGATAATGTGGCTCGTCACATTCAACTTCTCGTTATCATGGGTCGGATGAGGTATCCAATTATCCTCAAATTTGAAATCATTGCTTAATACTGATTGTACAAAGGGAAAAGTTTATGCATCAGGCATTTTCTTANCTTGAAATTCACGTGCTCACTTTTGGAGTCTTAACGAGATCAAATCGCTCGTTGGAGTATAATGAGCTCTAATACCATATTAAGATTTGGGGGTCCATCTTAAAAGGTCAACCTTGTTAAGAGGAGTAGCTCAAGATCTTTTATTAATTGGTCTGTATCAACATCATTTATCGATGTGGGATATATATCCCTTAACAATCTTTATACATGAGAAGAACTTCTCTCTCATTCTATAGCACTCGATACAATCTTTTATTCCGATAAATTGCCCAAAAGTAGCTCTCGAACTCTGTCTATAATAGCACAAAATCTAACAACGGGGGATTTAACTAGTCACTAATTATCATTTTTTGAGTAACTAATAATGTGGTAATAATTTATTTTAGGGTCATTCACCATTCAAAGCAACGCTCGTACATAGATAATGTGGCTCGTCACATTCAACTTCTCGTTATCATGGGTCGGATGAGGTATCCAATTATCCTCAAATTTGAAATCATTGCTTAATACTGATTGTACAAATGTAGTATCCAATCCAGGCCCGGTTCTGGCCCAAGGCCTCAAAAAATATTTGAAAGCCCAAAAAAATTATTATTTGTGATTTTTCTTACATTAAATATTTTCACGAAGATGTAGTGGTGCAAATAAAACATAAGTTTGTCTCCCTATCCAATAATGTCTTTTAGTTTTTATTTTGATTGCTGCTTTTGAATTTTTAATTTTAAAATATAAGATATTTTGAACAATAAATGGTAGTCACTACTCCCATATTTCACTGATTTCCAAAAATCTTTTATATTCTATTACTTGAACTTGAAATTTGATTCTCAAACAAATCAAACGGTGAGTCAGTACCATAGTATAATGGGCTTGATTCAAATATAAGAAACAGTTTGATTCAATCATGTTTGATGCTAATACTAATAGGCTTCCAATATATATACTAGTATAAACACCGTTGTCATCCTTTCGAAAAAAATAAAATCAGAAACCATATAACAATAATCAAATTCATTTTTTTGATAATAAATTAAGGGATAATTGCAGCAAAGGTGCCAAACCTTTCAGATTTTTGCACACTTTACCCTAATATTTGATTTGTGCCAATGAAGATCCCAAACCTTTCAAAAATATACGCCGGAGGTCCATCTGGACGGATTCCGTCCAATTGACCGTTAGTCAACCTGAAAAGTCAAATTTTGCCCAATTTTAACCCAATTAGAAAGGGCAAAGTGGTGACTATCCAATTACTCATATTAAATAAGTTTCAAAAATAAATTAAAAAACTCCAAAAACAAAAAACAAATACCTTGTATTTTAATATTTTAATATTTGAGCATATTTCCAATTCAGTTTTAAATTTCCTTTTCCACTTCCTTGTATTTTCTCTCATGCATTCCTTCTCTCTTTTTTCATTGAGTGAAAAACATTGTTGGGCACTAACTTGTAGTGGAGTCTCAATTTAGTCATTCATCTTTACTTTATTTTAATTAATATAACTACTAAAGTTCTCAGTTTATTTAGATTACATTACCGACGTCTATGATAAATTTTAAATGAGTGATGTATATGTATATAGATGTGGCACCCGTTCACCATTCAAAAAGCTTTCATGATTGAAATGTGTTCAGAATTTGTTGTCCTGTTAAATTTTTGGCATCTCACCACATCACTTTTTAATAAATGAAAAGAAGCAAAAGTGTAACGTGACAATAATGTATCAATACATGTTGGTCCCTTCCCATTTGCTAAGAAATAATGATGTAATAAGGTGTCAAAAATGTATTGGGGAATTCACAAATTCGGAGTAACAGATCTACTCTGATAGCTAAACCAAAAACTCCACATCGAACATGAGGATAATTACAATACCACTGTCCATTGATTCAATCCATTACAAAACAGACACTTGATAAACAACATTATAATACCCAACTCACAGTCTAAATTAGACAACAACGTTACAAAACNTCATAGGTTAGGGTAAAATGCGCAAAAATTTGAAAGGTGTGGGACCTTTGCTGCAATTATCCCTTTTTATAATTAATATAACTACTAAAGTTCTCAGTTTATTTAGATTACATTACCGACGTCTATGATAAATTTTAAATGAGTGATGTATATGTATATAGATGTGGCACCCGTTCACCATTCAAAAAGCTTTCATGATTGAAATGTGTTCAGAATTTGTTGTCCTGTTAAATTTTTGGCATCTCACCACATCACTTTTTAATAAATGAAAAGAAGCAAAAGTGTAACGTGACAATAATGTATCAATACATGTTGGTCCCTTCCCATTTGCTAAGAAATAATGATGTAATAAGGTGTCAAAAATGTATTGGGGAATTCACAAATTCGGAGTAACAGATCTACTCTGATAGCTAAACCAAAAACTCCACATCGAACATGAGGATAATTACAATACCACTGTCCATTGATTCAATCCATTACAAAACAGACACTTGATAAACAACATTATAATACCCAACTCACAGTCTAAATTAGACAACAACGTTACAAAACTAAACTTACACAGATGAGTTACTCAAGCCTAATAAGAAAAATATTTCAAATGACAAGACTCAATTAACAGAAACGAAACTATGGTATGATGCATGTATTAGTCAGAACAGAAGGTGGATTTGGAGGGATAGATTATCTGTAACTTGTCATCTTCTGCTTATTATCGCAAGGGAAGTAAGTAACGGAATTCAGATGCATAAGGCTGAATCTCTAAAAGTTGTGACTTATTTGTTTCACCATTTACTAGACACTCCATAATCAACCTTTTCAACGAGGAGTTGCTACTTGTTGTATGTGGTAGTTGGCTGTAAATCCATTCTAGCAGTGAATCCATGTCATCGGCAAAATCTTTCATGTACCACTGCATCAGTTTTGGCACTAAAATCTTTTTCTTGCTTGTGATTCCAACTGAAGCTTCCAAATACTCTACTTTAGCTCTCTCTAATTCGTTCACTACTTCGTCAGCCGTGTAAATCCTTAACTGCAAACCATTTTGACCCAGTATAAATTTGGCGTAGATAATGAATAGCTGCATAGATATATCGAACTACTTACGGCTGGAGAAGACCAGGTGCCTCGGCAAAGAGCAAATGTGACATTGGGTTCTGGATAACCAAGACCATAAGTACGCCTCAGAAGCATCTCTTTCTCATCTATTAGCTCCTGTATGTATGTACATACTCCATTATGTATAATATGTCAAACGCTTGTTATTCATAAAACTTAGTAAGATTACTATATATATATCTAATGCCCCATCTTGTTTACAGTCTTGTTTTGTCTCAGAGATTCCTTTGGAATTTGGTGAGTTCATATAATAAACTTGAGCTGTTATCATAATGGTCCAAGAAACTTCTAAGATCCTTCTTTTTTTTTTTTTAAGCATGATTTTGACTGCAGCATTAGTTAGAACTTGGAACGTCTTCACTTACACGTTCAGATTCTGCAGGATGGCGGAGGATGAAATGTTCAATTGCCAGAGAATTGAGTACAATCCCACCAACATTAATTGTTGCCTGTATCATAACTATACATCACGAACATTGTTGTATTGCCAAAACTTAGTTAATTACATACTCCACATATTAAATTACATACCTCGTTCATGAGTGCCAGAAGTTTCTCCTGTGTGGAGGGCAAGCCCTGCTGTAGAAATGCCTGTAATTTAACGGAAGATTCATTAATTTAACTATGTATTTTTATGCTGTTTATTTTGTTTCATAGGAAATTAAAGGCTTAAAATAAAGTCTCACTGTACATTCATTACGCAGGCATTATAGATATTAATCCAGAATGCCAACTTCTGCTTGTAGGTGAAGTAAGTTATGTTCACTTTGCTGAGTTTGTGCATCGAAATCCTACACAAAAGAATGCCTAGTGTCAAGTAGCTCAGAGAATAATCATAATGCACTTTATTGGAATCTCTTAAGTACCTCAACTTTCCCATGGCTGGAAGGCATTCAGAGAGACGGCTTTTGTCCAAGGAAGCTCTTGTGATTTGGATGAAGTTGTTATACGGTCCAACATCTCCGATGGTGCCATCAATGTCAGCCAATATTCTGTAAGGATCAAGATTAGATGCACTCTGATTGAATGAGGGAGTCGGCTCTATACAGCTGAACGCAGTTGTTTTTGACATGAAGACTTTTGAGTTGATGCAGTTTAGAGAATGCTGCTTCTCTGATATTCTTTTGCTCTTGAATGTTGTCTGATTTAAATTCAGAAATATACTTATTAAGCACCTAATCAGTTCTTCTGACAGCTTATTTGGCCTCTTAATTTCACTTCCCAAATTGATTAGGGTGCTTCTTGAACATCTTGAATTCTCTGCTATGCTTCTTGAACATCTTGAATTCTCTGCTATGCCTTCTGTTCAGACCAACCAAATAATAGGGTGGATTTCAAAATACGCCTCAAGGTAAACCACAAATAAGTGCTCAGGAAGTGATGTATCCACACATTTTATTATTGATTTATTATCACTTTTGATGGAAATGGGTGTCAGATCAATTATAAAGGAAAATTTTGGTTTACCATTGATCCCCAGAGAAGTAATGCATTGAATTTCTGTGGAGGCTCTTCTTTCCCTCCCAACCTCATACTTTCGATACTCATAATCCGATGATCTGCTAAGAATTTCAGTGTCTTTGGACTCTACATGGTTTGGCCGCCGGGAAGGTAACTTGTGTAATCGGCTTTGAATCCGCTGTGGCTGAAATTCTTTCAACTGCAGCATTTCCCATTCTTCGGTCTGCTTCTTTTCTTGGTAAACACTCAACTTGAGCTCATTTATCTTTCCCTCCAGCCAAATAATCTCTTCTTCCACTAATGCTACTTCTGCTAGAAGCACTTGAACCTGCATTTGATATAGCACTTGGATTCTTCACTTGGAACTCATATTTAATCTTCAAATATGGTTTTCACAAGGGATGAACAATGAGTTATGTCAAACTTTCATGGGGGTCATTGTATTCAGAAAGTTTTTTTTTCTATTCTCTTCTTCTTTTTTTTCCCCCTTTCTGTGAGCCACTTAATGCTAGACAGAACATCAAATTACTACCATAAGTTTTATCCCAAATTAGAGCAGTTGAATTCTCGGGACTTTGAGGATGTGTTAAATGAAAATATAATCTTCTTTCTTCCTCCGGATTGATGCATAGTTTGGTACAAACAACAACAAGGAGAATTCTGTAATGCGTCTATCAACTTCAACTATATATTTATCAAAAGGAAACTACTAAAACCTCAATACCACTAAAAGGACAAAAATGGAACAGAAAGACGACAAAAAGGAAGTTGTCCAGCACGAATTGTCCATTGTTTATGTGTTTGTTCAGAACCTGAAATTTAAATATCCAAATTATCGACTGAAATCAGGATAATTTAAATCTTATGCAACGTACAAGTTGGCCGCAATTTGTCACCTTCCAAACCATCTGCTATATACATTATGCCACATTTGTTGACTCTGAGTGCCTTTGAGATCATTTGAACTAATGAGGAAAAAAATCCAACCATATGATTGCATCATTCCTTGGAGGAGCTTAGCCTAACTGACTAGACACATCAACTTAAGTTTCATTAACACCCAGAAAGAGACTAGCCGAAGCAAATGGTGAAAAAGTTGTAACCAACTCACTGTAATGCAATAGATTAGGTTGATGACAAGATCACCCAGTATAATTTTGAGAAAGCCTTGCCTGGACTAGAAATATAAGGGAGGTATGTATCTGGAATATGTGATAGCGAGGGGTAACCTAAAGACTAACAGGTGAGGTGAAACTAAAAAAGCAGCATGAGGTATTTGGGAGAGACTGCTGACTATAAGGATAGACAATGGCATTTGTCCTCCAAGATACATTTTCCTCTAATTATCAACAAAACTGGAGACCTGGGGTAGTTCTTATCTTAATCGATTTTATCATTCCATGGCAAGCGTGCATCCGAAAGTTCCACCACCTTCATTATGCCACATTTTTGAAATTAGCTTCAATGTCTTCGAAGGACAAGGTAATTTATGTAATGTTATTGCCAATCAAGACTACTTTGCCTAATGCTTTGACAGCACGCAATAAACAGACAAGGAAGCTGAAAAACAACTCGAAATTTACTATCTCTTTCTGATCCTATTTCAACTTTCCAAGATTTCACAACCCCAGAAAACCCCCCAGAGAGAAAAAGCTTTCAATTGTTAAAACGGCTTTAATACTAATACTAAGGAAAAATCAGCTTCCATTAGCAGTAAAATTATGTGATCGTTAGGGCTTTGAAAATTATATCGCATTGAATTAATTGAATACATTCTGGTCACGTAGTCTGTCTTACTCTCCTCTTTCACACAGATAAGCAACGGTTTTCAAGGAAACAGACAACGGCTAATTAAAGAATTAAACACTACCTTTTGTGGGAGCAACAAGGAGACGCATGAACAAGAGTGAATTGACCCATACAATGCACAATTCAAAACTTTGCTCAGTTGCAGTTCCCCATTTAATTCGTGCTGCAATTTCTCCACCTGCAACATTAAACAGGGTGATGACAAATTTATCAACTCTATCCCAAAAACTGAAATTCATTCTAACTCACCTCCTCCTCGAGCTGTTCTCTTGTTTGTTTCTCCTCACCTGCCTGCATCAACAAATCTTCGAATTTCATAATTCAAAACAGCCACAAACAAGCAATCATGAAATCCCCATAAAAACCCAAAGTCCTTGTTGCAATATGCTTTCGATTTAATAGCTTTGAGCTTAAATTGATGAAGATAAATGTCGAAGAATACATACAGCATGTGTGTGCGCGCATTTTAGAGAACGTGAATCCACCGTTGGCGTTTAAGTGTTTAACTTCAACCAGGAGGTGATAGACGTGAAGCCCATGAACAGTTTAAACATCTAACAGTTGGTGTTAAGATTCCGACTCGACCCGGTTCTACGACACGGTCGACACAGTTTGTGGCCCGGTTTGTGTCAAGCTTATGAGCCTATGTTTTAGTTTTGTCATTTATTATTATTACTAGTCATAGTTGAACATGCGTTGCACGTTATTCTGAAATACTTTATAAGTACCGTAAAAGTAACATTTGATCTTTCATTTACCATTTTGATCTAAATATAAGATAAATGCAAACTTCTAAAAGTAAATATTAATTATTATATATGCACATAAATAGTGAAATATATATTTAAATGTGAGTATTGAAATTACAACTAAATGCATAAATGAAGATTGATGGAAAATACGATAAATGAATTAACGTAAATGTTAATTAATATAAAATTAATATCAAGAAATATATACGTAATCATGAATGTTAAATCATTTATATTAAATGAATATAATTTAATTTTTAATTAAGTTAAATTGAATGTTAATTAACATACATGAACGTAAATAATAAACTATATTATTAAATGAGAAATTCTAATTAATATTGATTAAATAAATGTGAACGTTAATTAATTATTAATAACAAGGACATGGATGTGAAATTCTAATTAATATTAATTAAATGAACGTGAATGTTAATTAATTGAGAATTAATTGTAGTATTTATTACAGTTTATAAATTAAATACATATTGAAAAACGAAAAATAAGATATTGTTGAAATAATTGAATTGTAGTAGGGTTATAATCGTCCAAAAAATAATTCTCACTCCATATGATATTTAATATATTACAGATTATTATTTTTTAAAGGAATTGTGTTGCATAAAGAGCAATGCTTTATGCGACGCTACAATTTAAGTACAATTTCAATTAGGTTCATCTATTTAACTATGGATCATTTTGTATAATTGTAGTTTTAAGTACATTTTAACTAAATTGTCATCGCTAGATTCTAGAAAGGATAGATTAGTCTATCATCAAAAAAAAGATCGATTAAATTTAGTGCTTTTTACATGTATGTACAAAGTTAAGAAAACTTGAAAAGTATTTACATATTGAACATCGTAGATATAAGCATTTCGATTTGAACGTCTTTAAAAATAAGACATTCTGTTTCATTGTCATTTGTCCCAATCTCCTAATGAAACTTTCGTTATTGGGTGAAGCATCGTGCAACAAATAGATGGATTGCTATTTTTATTGTCATTATTGTCAACTTTTGATCCACCCCATTATGCGGAGCTCCACTTTCTTTGTCGTCAGTTGCTTCGCTGCTTTTATTAAATCTATCGTGGTCACGAGCATTGCAAAAGTTAGGAGGCGACAAACAATCAAAAGCACAAGAACATATTTTATGGCACGTTACATCTTTTCTATTTTTTTTTTACGAAAATATCAAGAATGGAAATTTTTTTATTCTAAATTTGATTGATTGATTTAAATTTCATGGAAAATATCACATCCGAAAAATTCAATTTCCACTTTGGTTGTTTAATACGAAAGTGAAAATGGAGTTCGAATTCCAATGTACAACCACTTTAAACTTGTTTTTTGTCATTTTCATAGAAAATGCATTCATATGTGGTTCTTGAATTTTTATTTTTCAACTTGCATGAAATTGAAAATTCTTTTCACCTTTGCCAATTAAACGGATCCAAAAAATAAATTCATCTAATGTGGAACTTGCAAAAAGGTTCTTCCGACGGTTCGATCTTTGCACCTCCAAAATGTAGAACAAAAGGAATAAAAGAGATCCAAAATTTATACCTTGTGCACCTCCAAAATAAGTTCTAATTTTTTTTTTGAAAAAATTCTCAAACGTTGACCGACTCCCAAAGGGGGGCCATATCATATAGAGTTGTAGATTTCTCTCTCATATGATAACAATGGCTGCCTCCCCGCCGATGATCCCAGTCTCGAACCTCCAATCGGAATCCGGTGCCCCCATCGCCACCACGCCAGCCTTTCGCAGTTTTCTCTCTCGTATTTCGGCCACCGTACAGCATGGCCTCTCCCAACGCCGCCCCTGGTCGGAGCTACTCGATCGATCCTCCTTCTCTCGTCCCGATTCCCTCTCTGACGCCGTTTCCCGCATTCGGAACAACTTCTCCTACTTCCGGGTCAATTATATTTCTCTAATTGCATTGTCCCTCGCTCTCTCCCTCCTCTCCCACCCTCTTTCACTACTTGTATTACTGGCCCTACTCGCCGCCTGGATCTTCTTGTACCTCTTCCGGCCTTCGAATCAACAGGTTGTTATCGGTGGACGCACGTTTTCTGACCGTGAAATTCTGGGGATTTTGGTGGTGCTCACCGTAGTTGTGGTGTTTCTCACCAGCGTTGGATCGCTGCTCATCTCGGCCTTGCTCGTTGGTTTAGCTGTCGTTTGCGTTCATGGTGCGTTCAGGATGCCGGAGGATTTGTTCTTGGACGATCAGGACTCGTCCAACGCTGGGTTTCTCTCGTTCCTTGGTGGCGCTGCTCCTTCTGCCGCTGCAGCAGCAGCTCCGGCCGTCGCTACCAGGGTATAATTTTACTGATAATCTGAGGTAAGGTTGGTTTTGGTTTAAATTTCATGATTAATTGAATAATTTTCAATTGATTTCTGGTAGACGAAATTATGAGGAACTGTACAGGACCCATTTTGGGAAATTCGTTTCTGCTTTTTTAGTTAAATAGATTAGATCTTTGACCTATAATATCTGTGATCAAATGCGACATGTAATGTTTCTTAATGTTCTAGAATGATGCTTAGATTTCTTACACAATCGATTTTGTATTGATGCTGGTTGCTGGATAAATTGTAATGAAGGTTATCACTGAATACCTTAGAATATTGCACAAGTTTAGTTTGAAACGCATGAACAATATTGGGGACTTGTTGGCCTTCGCCATTTCCCACGGGTAAGATGGTGTTTATTATGGAAATTTTGGAACCTGATCATGACTATTTTTATTATGAGGAACTGTATGGAACCCATTTTTGGAAATTCATTACTTCTTTTCTCAACTAGGTTAGATCTTTGACTTGTAATATCTGTGTCACCTGTGTTGTAAAATGTTTGTTAATGTTCTATACTGATGCTTAGATTTCTTAAACAATCAATTTTATAGTGAAATGCTGTTTGCTGGATAAAATGTAGCAAAGGTCATGGGCGGACCCACATGGGGTCATGTGGGGTCAAGTGACCCCACAAAGATTTTTGGCTTTCTTTTTTTATTTTTCAAAAATTCTGTATTTGTTTTTTTTTTTTTCCAAGTGTAAGTTTCTTGCTTATGATCAATGAGTGTTCCTTTTGTTAGTTTATCTGCTTATCCGCTTGTTAGCGGAATGAATTATTGAGTTTTGTCTTTAGAAATTCTTCAAATATGAATTTAGTGGTGAAGAAATAGAGGATAAAGGGTTTAAACATGGAAGAATCTTTACCGTTTCTAAATTCTTTTTGGACACTTTGAAGAAGTAAAAATGGTGAGCAACGACGAAGTTTTCAGGTCTAAGATCACGGTTTATGTGTTGGATCCTTGTAGACTTTAGAAGTCTAACGTTCGATTTTGTTCGTCGTATATGATATTTGATTGAAATTAATAAGTGAGTTATTTTCTTTTTTTTGTACTATATATATTTGATTTTGTATGATTTAGAGGGCTGAATGTGATTGGGAAGATGAGGGTGTCGTTTAAATTAGTATTTTAGATGGAGGACTTTTTGGAGTTCAAGATTTGGGCGATTTCGAAGTTTAACGAAGTTTGGCCTCTTGGGCATAATTGGGCTTGTTCTTTGGCTGACAATGTGTTAAAAATTGGATGTTTAGACTAACGGATTATTGCCACAAATTTCAATTTCAGCTTCCTGCAAAACCTTTACTTCCATCCTTGACTTCTCACAAAGTATGAAAACGCGTAGACTATAATTGTAGTCGTGTATTGACTTATTTTCATTAATGTTATGTTTTTTCTTTTAAAAAAAATGCATTTTAAATTTTTACCCCACAATACAAAAACTCTTGGTCCACCCTTGGCGAAGGTTGTCACTTAATAGTGCGTTCAGGATGCCGGAGGATTTGTTCTTGGACGAGCAGGACTCGTCCAACGCTGGGTTGCTCTCGTTCCTTGGTGGCGCTGCTCCTTCTGCCGCTGCAGCAGCAGCTCCGGCCGTCGCTACCAGGGTATAATTTTACTGATAATCTGAGGTAAGGTTGGTTTTGGTTTAAATTTCATGATTAATTGAATAGTTTTCAATTAATTTCTGGTAGACGAAATTATGAGGAACTGTACAGGACCCATTTTGGGAAATTCGTTTCTGCTTTTTTAGTTAAATAGATCTTTGACCTATAATATCTGTGATCAAATGCGACATGTAATGTTTCTTAATGTTCTAGAATGATGCTTAGATTTCTTACACAATCGATTTTGTAGTGATGCTGGTTGCTGGATAAATTGTAATGAAGGTTATCACTGAATACCTTAGAATATTGCACAAGTTTAGTTTGAAACACATGAACAATATTGGGGACTTGTTGGCCTTCGCCATTTCCCACGGTTAAGATGGTGTTTATTATGGAAATTTTGGAACCTGATCATGACTATTTTTATTATGAGGAACTGTATGGAACCCATTTCTGGAAATTCATTACTTCTTTTCTCAACTAGGTTAGATCTTTGACTTGTAATATCTGTGTCACCTGTGTTGTAAAATGTTTGTTCATGTTCTATACTGATGCTTAGATTTCTTAAACAATCAATTTTATAGTGAAATGCTGTTTGCTGGATAAAATGTAGCAAAGGTCATGGGCGGACCCACATGGGGTCATGTGGGGTCAAGTGACCCACAAAGATTTTTGGCTTTCTTTTTTTATTTTTCAAAAATTCTGTATTTGCTTTTTTTTTTTGTTCCCAGTGTAAGTTTCTTGCTTATGCTCAATGAGTGTTCCTTTTGTTAGTTTATCTGCTTATCCGTTTGTTAGCGGAATGAATTATTGAGTTTTGTCTTTAGAAATTCTTCAAATATGAATTTAGTGGTGAAGAAATAGAGGATAAAGGGTTTAAACATGGAAGAATCTTTACCGTTTCTAAATTCGTTTTGGACACTTTGAAGAAGTAAAAATGGTGAGCAACGACGAAGTTTTCAGGTCTAAGATCACGGTTTATGTGTTGGATCCTTGCAGACTTTAGAAGTCTAACGTTCGATTTTGTTCGTCGTAAATGATATTTGATTGAAATTAATAAGTGAGTTATTTTCTTTTTTTTTGTACTATATATATTTGATTTTGTATGATTTAGAGGGCTGAATGTGATTGGGAAGATGAGGGTGTCGTTGAAATTAATATTTTAGATGGAGGACTTTTTGGAGCTCAAGATTTGGGCAATTTCAAAGTTCAACGAAGTTTGGCCTCTTAGGATAATTGGGCTTGTTCTTTGGCTGACAATGTGTTAAAAATTGGATGTTTAGAATAACGGATTATTGCCCACAAATTTCAATTTCAGTTTCCTGCAAAACCTTTACTTCCATCCTTGACTTGTCACAAAGTATGAAAACGCGTAGACTATAATTGTAGTCGTGTATTGACTTATTTTCATTAATGTTATGTTTATTTTTCAAAAAAAATGCATTTTAAATTTTTACCCCACAATACAAAAACTCTGGGTCCGGGGAACCGCTTCCAACAGTGAATTAATAGACAAGTTTAATTGGTTAGTTGAATTTAAATTACATTGACATTTTGGGAACTTGTCGGCCATCACCATTATCCATGTGAACTATCATAAATGCATCAAACTTTGAGATGGTATTTAATATGGAAATTTTGGAACATGATCTTGACCATTTTTATATAGCATTACATGTCTCAATGCTTGATGTAAGTATTATTCCTTTAATTTAATAATGGTTTGCTTAGATAATTCGCTACATTAGGTGTTTAGTCTTGTTTTTGTTAGATCGGGGAGCAATATATGAGATTCTACTAGAACTGTTGTATGGTAGGTGACTTTGTTTTAGAAAACCACTCGTCATAGCCATTATTCTCTTGTTTCTTTTTTAAAAAGCTTAGGAAGAAGTACATGGAGTTAGATGACATGCTAAAGCTGTAGGGTTAAGTATGCTAAATGATATATTTGAGGAAACCTACGACTTGTGGGAATCTAGTATGTAGTTATATCAGAGAATGGAGGTGCACAGCAAACTAATGTTGCTGGTTGTAGTAACTTTGATACGGAGCTGGACTATCTGAGATCCAATTGTTAGAATATGTAGATTGGGGCCACAAAGCAACAGTCTAATTTAAGATTTGAAATGAGGTGTGTTGGTAAAAAGCAATTGCATTTTCAAGTAAAAATTCTTTTGTACAAGTGGTGCACCGTGTTCATGACCTTGTGATTTATTTGATTCGTACAAGACGAGAGTGCTAATTTCCTGTTGCTGGAAGATGAAAGGTATTCTATATGCAAGTATCATTAATGAGATTGAAGAAAAACTATTGGGGAGAGAGATTAAACTAAGATCCGTATATGCAAGTAAAAATAATTAGTAGATTACATACACTTAGGAGTGTGGCATACCTTGGATGTCCTAATACAATGAATATTACATTCTCTCCATTAATGATGGTATTTGAATGACTAACGACACAGGTAGCAGACTCGTGGAAGTGAATCTGGTGGGCTTGATCTTCATGCCCTTGTCTTCTTTTCCTTTCAACTCCTTTTGCATGTTTAATATATCATTTGTTTTGGCTGCCATTGAATCTCACCATGTCCAAATCATCTGGTCTTAAAAACTGGTGCTTTAGTATACTTGTAACATTTTCATGAGTGATTTTGATTGAATGTTTTATTGCTGTTTTAAGGCTGGTTGAAGTGCATACTTTCATGAAAAAGTGGTAAGTAAGGTATCAAAGTTCAATGATTGTAAACACCGTCATTTACTTGTGTCTGAATGCGAGAGATGGAGTTTGACTTTGGTTTTCTAAGGCAACAAATATTTTTATAATCTGTATGGATTTGCAGATGCTGTTTAGTTTGTATTCTTCTATGCCGTCATTGTTGAATCAGTCAGATTTATTTCCTTGTAAATGGAAGACTTTGGTTCACTGACAAATAATCCAATACCATCAATCAGCAATAATATTGAGTGGTGTGCATTGTATGTACTACGAAAATGTTAGAATGCTTGGTTGCTGGAAGGGGGGTGTCGGGGAAGCACTCCGATGCCTAAGATTTTTTAGAAGAAAAATAAAATTGAGAGAGTTTTTGACTGATAAAGTCATATAGTTTCCTTACCTTGCCATTGAGGTCAGAGTAAATGGAAAAATACGTCCAGGCTATTTGTTGGTGTGAAAGTTTTCTTGAAGGACAAGTTTAATTTGGGGGCAATTGCTTGGTAAACAAGTTTCCTGGAGGACAAGAAAGAGGCTTCTTGGGTCCGAGTATCATTGGTCGACAAGAAAGTCAAACTGAAAAATGTATCGAGATATTTTTTCCACATGTCTACCATGCGGATATGGTTATAGCATAACTCATTTATGGTCGTCTTCTTGTTGGACTAGATAGGCTCCATGAGCAAAGATATGAATCGTGGCTGTCGAGAAGATTCTAAATATTTGATAGGATAATGTTGCTTGTTGGTAAAAGCAAATGCATTTTGAAATAAAGAGGATTTTCCAGCTACCCAGGTTCAGATTTTTATAAAAAATTCAGTACAAAGTGAACTATTATTTGTTTGAATATCAGGTTATAATAGCTTAATAAGAGTACGAATAACGAATCTTAAGTTCTACTGGGGGAACATGGGAATGATGAACGGACTGTACAAGCCGAGTGAAATGACATTTAAGTTTGGTTTCATGCAGTTAACTTGTTAATAGAGCAGAGCTAAATCCAAACGAGGTTTGTGTAAATGAGATGAGCTTGAGATCAGGGGCGCTGCCCTGAGCTCCAAACCTTTTTATTTTATTTTAGCATTAGTGCAGAAATCTGTTTAGTTCACTCCTTCGCCCCACCCCCAACGCACCTTACCTTTATGTTGATCTTAATGGAGCTTCAAGAAAGCTATTCGAGTTAGTTAAACCTGTTTAAAAAGTTTAACCCAGACATGGGGAAACAGAGAAACACGAGTCACTTATGATGCACTGATACTGACACGTGTGTCTGACACGATAAGTGTCGGATACGTCGACACACGATTTTTTTAAAAAGTACAGACACGACACGTTATCAACACGTTGATTAAATTTGTAAAAATTCTGAATTTATATAGTATACATTCAGTTTTATACTTATTATTAATATTTCTTGTTGAAATTTTTTAAACATGAGTACTTATTTGTTGCTTGCTAATAATTTTGAATTAACAATATATAATTTTCTAATATAAAAAGAAAAATGATTACGGTAGAGTGTCCGAGAAGTGTCGGTATCGACTCGTGATCGACACGGACACGCTACCCTAATTGAAATGTCCGTGCTATAGAGCGAGTCACTATAAGTGTACTCTTTGCACATATATACTTTTTGTTTGAACCTTTAGATTCTATAGACATGTGATGTCTATGTGTTTTCACTTCGCTCGTGTCCTTTGTAACGTCGTCGTATGAGAGAGTTATTTTTGATCTTTTGAATGACAATGGGTTGTTGCTACGGGTTGTAAACTTTATTGTAGCCAGCTTGGCATTTAGGAGTTACATGGTATAATTAGTTATACCTTGCCTAATTTCATATGTTGTTGACTTTGGTTCTGCATATCTTGCGCCGTGTCCATTTATGGATATCTCCATTGGCCTTATGATGCTCGAATATTTAGTTTGGCGTGTATCTTTCCATCCATTGTTTAAGCCATAGGATTCTTCTAGACAATATTCAAAGAAAAAAGTTAAAAATCTTAAGAATTATTGTTCAAATGTCTATCACACACAATGTGCATGCCAGAAAAAAAGTATCTTTCCATCCATTGTTTATGCCATTGGATTCTTCTAGACAATATTCAAAGAAAAAAGTTAAAAATCTTATGTATTATTGTTCAAATGTCTATCACACACAATGTGCATGCCAGGAAAAACATATTTCCTCGAAAAATGGAAGAAAGATGATATCTTGTTTATAGACTACCAATAATCTAGTAGTATTATAAACTATGAATATTATTGACTTGAACAGATTGATATATTTGATACTTCGTTACGATGCATTTATTTGTAATTTTTCCCCCTTTTTAAGTGGAAAATTTGAATTGAATATGCTACTTGTTGTTTACCCCATATCAAGTATGAGGTGATACATCAAGAATTGCAACACCTTTCAAGAAATTTTGTTTTGTCTACATTGATGGATGTCTATTAGTGATAGGATGTACATTGTACTTCCTAAATACGGAGTATGCCGGAATTCAAGCCTGCTATCAGTGTAGGCCAATGGAGGAATGAGGAGAGAGTGCCTTTCGTACTCAAATTTGTTTGGAGTGGACAATTATTAAAAAAAAAAAGATCAACCGCATCCTTGGCGACCCCCACTTTCCCTGGGCTTTGGTGGAGGAAGTAAATTACAAGTTATGCCTCCAAGGGTACAGGCTCTACAGGGTAGAAGGCTGCTTGTACATTTACACTTATCTGAGAGCCAAATTCATATTTTAGGATTTGAACCCTTGACACGGCAACCTCAAATAAAGTTGGAGATGTGTCATGGGGGCAGAGTGAACAATTATTCATTGCACTATAATCTAGTGGATGTGTTTTATATTTATGAAAAGCCAATGTTGAACAATGCATGTTACGAACTAAGACAACTATTCTTGCTTGGACCAAGCTACATGTACATAAAGGTGTTACGAACTAATATTATCGCTGAGTTGATATTTTTGATGGATAATGTAGGGTACGTGGCCTAATTTGATTGTGTGCCCTTCCTTTCGTTCAAAGTTAGCACATTTGGATATCCTGCACCATAGTTTTTAGACTCGACCCAGACAAGGTACCGGGTCTCGGGTTACTGGTCAAACCGGTTGGTCATTGCATAAAAATCTATAAAAAAAATGAAAATAAATTAAAGTTTAAAATTTTTTGAGGCAAATTATATTGTTTTTAAATTATTTTTCACTAGTTATTTAGGTCTATAAAATAAAGTAAAATGTTTGATCAAAGTTTTTATAAATAGAAAACATAAGCCCTTGTTTGATATCAATTTTTTTTTCCATTCACTTTCTCATTTTTTTTTTATTTTTTTTCATTTCAACCACATATTCTATCAATAAAATAATAGTACAAATAAACTCAAAAATTCTCTTTACTTTTTGATCACACATTCTTCCATCAATCACTATTCAAAATCAAATTCTTCTCTAAAATGGGTGTCAAACAAGGGCTAAATATAATTCATTGGATACATATAACTTATTGCACATAAAAAAATATTGAAGTCTATAACTCCAATGGTGATGAACTAATTATTTTATTTAGAGGTCTAAGGTTCAATTCCTTGGACTCCAAAAAATTTTAAAAGCATTTTTGAAAATAGGTAAATCGGTCGGGTTAAATTGGTCAAAATCGTCGGTTAACTTGGTCAAAGTTGACTTTTGAAAGAGTCGTGTGCATTCCTATTAAATTTATCTATCCGGCCTGTGTAAGGGCTTGGGTCACCAATTTTCCAGCCCGACCTGTCGAGTCGGGTTTTATAACTGTCCTACACAGCTTAGTTGCCGCATGGCATTGTGAGAATGATCTTTCTATTCAGTGGCATAAATAGTCTCTCGATAGCCACCCTTTATCAGTGTGTATCTAGTGACATAAGACCGGTCATAGTAAGATGGCAGGTTCCATGGGCCTTGATTCAGATAAACATATGCAGGGAAACTAATCACCTCATTTGTCGGTAAACTAATCAAATTGTGATCTACATGTAGGACAATCGATGTTGAAATTGCCTAAGCTATCGTTTTATTAGAAGAACATCATTTCCCGCTGTTGAAAAGAAACTTCGCTACCATATCCATTATCTAGACTCGGCCATAAAGAATTACAATTGAATGTTTTAGGTTTACAAATAGAATCGTTACAGTAGCACTTGATTTGTCCTGAATTTTTTTTTTTTTTTTTTCATCTTCAAATGACTAGTTGCCATGTGACAAAACTGTTACAAATTTAAGAGAATTATGCTTGGTGGGTCCCGTCTCATATGAGGGAATGAACACTCTTATGTACAAAAATTGTATACACAAAGCAAGGTCCAATTTAGATACCAAGTCGAAACATGAAGCAAAAGTTTTATTTTATTTTTTAAAATCTTGCAGAAGGGGCTCTAGAGTAGCCTCGAACCTGCGCATAAAAATATGTTGGACCCTACAAGAGAGTGGTTGCTTAAATTTTGAAAGTTCAAAAATACCCGCATTTAAAAGGGAAATTACTTCGGGACCAAGCAAGCAGTACCACACACCAGGCACCAACTCAACGTGTGGATCGGGAAGCTTCGTGTCACTACGAATGACATCCTGGTAACCCCCCAACGCGACTAAGAAATCGATACGTAATCAGTGACCAACAGAATCAATTAATTAATATAGGCTTTTAGATATGTTTTGTTTTTATAATATTAAAATAATACACGGAGATATCTAGAAGGGCAGAAGGCTATAAATATCGCTGCTGCTGTGTCAAACCAAGATTTTTCTTTCCTAATCTTCATTTTGTACCGAAACGTCTAGAGAAAACCACACTCAAAATCTTATTATACGAAACCCAGCAAAAAAAGAAAAAGAAAATTAACTACAGCGATAAGAGGGGAAGCTCAATTAAATTTGTTGAAAGGTATGAATGCAATTCTGTTCTATTTCCTTTCAGTTTCTGTGCTTTAAAGATTTTACTTTTTGATTTGTCATATTGAATATGAAATGAGCGTGTAAAAGAAGAAAAAAGGGGGAAAGTCCATTTCTGTGGGCTGGAATTCTGCGGGGAAATATATTTATTTGTTTGTTAGTGGAAAATTAATTGATTGATTATTTATAGTTGAAGTTGAAGGGTTTTTATTTAGAAAAAGAATAGTTTGATTAGTTTCCTTTTGTTTCTTGGCCACCAAGAAAGTTGGTTTGCTTAGTAAGTGTGGTTATTTGTGAAGACTTGGTAGCGTCACCTGGTTTTCTTATTTATATGAGAGAAAATGTTGTGGGATAAAAAAAATAAAACTATTTCGGGACGCTGAAGTATTTTGATTGATGGTGGAATTTTGAATTTCCATTAGCACTTTGTATTTGAAGATCAATCTAGGACTCAGGAATGCAAACTACTTTGGTTTTATGTAATGTAATATCAGTCTCTACTTCGACTCTTTGCACGAAATTTTGCTTGTGCATTTTCCATCTGTCGTCTGCGTGTTGAGTAGTTTTGATTGATGTTCTTGGGCAAAATCATCTTATTTGTTTATTTTGTAGATTTTTTTCTTATTGGGTCTATAATTGATTTTGCAATTGTGGAGGGAGACTGAGATCAGTTCTTTGTTTTACGCAGGGATGGCACTCTTAGATCAATCTTCTAATCCTGTTTCTCAACCCATTAACTTCAATAGAAAGAGGAAATCAAGAAGTAGAAAGGATGGACCGAAAAATGTAGCAGAGACAATTGCAAAGTGGAAGGAATACAACAATAAAGTCAATTCTCAGGATGATGAAAGTAAGGTAGCTCGTAAAGCTCCTGCCAAGGGATCAAAGAAAGGATGTATGAAAGGTAAAGGAGGTCCTGAAAATGCTCATTGCAATTACAGAGGCGTTCGGCAGAGGACATGGGGTAAGTGGGTTGCTGAAATTAGAGAGCCGCATAGGGGTCCTAGGCTATGGTTGGGTACATTTAGCAATGCGATCGAAGCTGCTACTGCTTATGATGAGGCTGCAAGAGCAATGTATGGCCCTTCTGCTCGGCTTAATTTTCCCACTTGCCATATGCCGAATGAGTTGAAGAAAGAGTGTTGTTCATTGCGAACTACATCAACGTCCAATTCCACAACTTCTAGTGTCTCTGATGTTTGTCTGCCAGACTCTACGGGGCCTAAAGCTGATGCTACAAAGATGAGAGATGAAGATTCTGAGGGTGAATTGCGGACAAACAACAATGGGCATTCGCTGCTGGGCGAGGTTGGTCGTGCATTGAAGGTGGAAATAAAGGAGGAACCTATGGAGGAGGAAAGAAGGAAAGATACCCCTCAACGCTTCGATAGTATTGAAAATCATTGGTTCAATACGAAGGAAGACCCTACATATTTCAATGGAAGTTCGGCAGCTGGGCAAAATCCATTAGACGGCCTGTCTTGGGATGAAATGTTTGATGTGGATGAGTTACTGACCTCGTTAGACCCCACTAGTTACAATTCTTTAGAGCCCAAGAGATTGGAGTCGCATGGTGGTCAAGCAGGGCAATCCACCGATGGCACTATGTATACTTCAGATTTGTCAAACCAATTGCAGAACTCTGATGGAATGTTGCTCAATAGTTCACCCCACATGGAACAGGCACCTTCTGCGGCTGATTACTGTTTTGATTTCCTAAGCCCAGGAAGACCAGAAGATTTCAATTTTACATTGGATGATTTGTTACTTGATTTGTATTCTGGCATGGCGCCATAAGCTGTTGAGATTCATGCTGATTGAGAAGTGGCAACGAATTCTCTTTCTTTGTATGATATTCTTGGAGTTGGAGTAGGAGTAGGAGTTAGTAGTATCTTGGATCTTCCAGATTGATTATTTATTTACGAGGATCTCTTAGAAACAGGAACCCTTTTTAAACGTTAGAGATATATTAATTTGATTCGTTTTCCTGATTGCTCACATCAAGCTGATTCTTGGCAAGTCTTTAGATTAGTAGAGTTGGCTCTAGTTGGAACTTCTCAAGTAAAACAGTCGTCTTCTTGTACGGACACGACACCAAATTGTCGGCTTTTGTGCTAAACTTATGACAAACTTTAGAGTAAAGATAATTAAAGATTCTTTTCATAGTTGTTATAGTATTATTGTTATCGTTCACTGTTGTTATTATTTCGGGGTCATTTGCGTGAAGATCATTGAAAATAGGAGTATTTTTATTTCTTTTTTAGCTATAATGGGAAAAATTAAAGGTCTGTTCTTTTTGTCATTTTTCAAGTTTTTAATTTTTCAAAACAGTGAAAATGCGTTCTCTTCGTATTTTCGAAAACGCAATTTTGAAAACAAATTAAAAAATTACAAAGAAAATTCAAAACAACAAATTTATTGTTTTTGGTGTTTTCAGTTATAATCAAGCCAAAATTTTCAAAACGCATTTTAAGTGTTTTTAAAGCAATTTTTCAAAATGGCAAAAAGAACACATTTTCAATAATCTCAAAATGAACCCTCAAAACACAATTTAAAATAAATTCGAAATACAAAACTGAAACACAAAAAGAGTAATCCCTAAGGGGCCGTTCTCTTTGTGTTTCAGTTTTCTGTTTTGAGTTTTGAAATCGTTTTGTGTTTTGTGTTTTGAGTGTCCGTTTTGAAATTGCTGAAAATGCGTTCTGTTTGTTGTTTTGAAAAACTAGACCAACCCTATTGAAGCAGTGCCGCCAAATCAGCCGGTAAGTCGAGTGACTGCAGTGCCACCAAATCCTCCACCGACACCCCAATCTTAGTGGACAGTGGCGGTATATCAGGTGCCGTTAGCTGCAGCTGGGTAGTGATGCTTCTGGGCTCTGGCCACGGTAGTGATAGCAGGACGAAGGGAGTGGGATTGGAAGAGAGAGAAGGAAGAGACGAATTGGAAGAGAGAAGGGCGATGGGTTTGGAGCGTTTCCCGTGTTTTCCAATTGTCTAGGTGTTTTGTATTGAAAATTCCAAAACGGCTGTTTTCCATTTTCTTCACAATTTTTTTTTTTTGTTTTCGAAAATCCGTTTTCGAAAATGACAAAGAGAATACGTTTTCACCGTTTTGAAAAATCGAAAACAGAAAACGACTTGAAAACAGTAAAGAGAACGCCCCCTAATATTTTCATTGATACTTTTGCATATTACATTATTAAACTTCTTGTCGAATATAGGAAAATACAAGTAATATTTACTACTCAATAGTTCTATTTTTTAATCAATTAAGCTGATCGAGCTTAGTGCTCATGGATCGTTAGGTTGGCAAACCTAATCTGGCATGACCCTGCCATAAGTGTTGGACCAATCAACGAACCCCCATACAACAGGATGAAATAGTTTGTTCTGATCTTTTAAAAGGATCGATTTGCCTGGAGAGCTCGACACACACCCATTTTGACAAAACTAATCGAGAGATGTAACAGCCCCCTCGTGAAGAAGAACTTGGGTAATATGTTGATATTCCATCGATTTCGAAATATACAATGGTGTAGCACCTTTCTTGCTCTTTGCATTTACATTAGCTCCTCTATTGATCAAAACTTGGACAATCTCGACCGAGCCTCCTTCAACAGCCAAATGCAGTGGCGTATGGCCTTCGGCATCTTGGCTTTCCAAATCAGCGCCAAATTCAACAAGCATCATTACTGCATCTTTATGTCCCTTAATAGCTGCAATGTGAAGTGGCGTCAAACCGTATTGATCGGAGAAACTCAAAGATGCACCTTTTTCGAGTAGGGACTCGAGTAGATCCAACTCTCCGCGCCTTGCAGCACTAAGCACCGATGCGCCACGATCAAGTATTTTAACTACCTCTTTCTGTACAAAATGAGATATTAAACTCCATAAATTTGAACGTGTAATCTAGGTTGTGTAACAGAAACAAATGTACAAATTTGATGACCATCTCACACATTTTAAAAAGTTTGGTGGCTAATGTATAAATATGATAAACAGAAAATTGTGTGATTACTTACGTGCCCCTTATCACGTGCAACATCAAAGGCTGAACGGCCAAGATCAAAATCAGAAATTGTGGGGTCAGCACCCACGTCTAGAAACATCTCCACCATCCGACGGTCCCCATTAGCAGCAGCTCTGTGCAAAGCCGTCCGGCCGTCGTTACTCCTCGCGTCCACCTGTGCCCCTGCACTTACCAACACCTTAGCACTGTCCAACTGACCTTTGCTCGCCGCTAAATGCAATGGCGTGTTCCCTTCCTTATCCCTACAATCCAACAGCACTCGATCCTTTCCCGTTAATAATCTCTGAACTTCGTCCGTCCGATCAAACGCCACTGCTATGTGCAAATCGCGCCACCCCTTCGACGCGCATTTGAGTTCATCTGATTCAGCGAATTTATCAACTTTCAATCCAGATTCTAGAAGTAAACCCACCATGTCGTCCGAGTTACTACTGGAGCTATTAGTATTAGTATTATCCAGCTGAGTGGCGACGCGGTACAATGACTCGGCTTCCCCAGGTGACAACTCAGCAACAACTGATCTTTGTCGTTTAATTAGGTTCCTGACTGCTTCAACATCTCTAACGCTGACTGCATGCCTCAAAAGAAGAGGACCCAGGAAGTAAACTTTGAGTTTGATGTGGTAGGTGGTGAGGTGGGGGGCTGAGTTGAACCACGAGTTAATGAACTCGGAAGGACTCGACTCGGGAGTGAGTTCAGGTGCGAGAGCTGTTTTGAGGAGGAAACGGTCGGAAGTTGAGCGGGGAAAGGTTTCGGGGAGGTGGGATTGGGGTTTTAGGACGACTTGGAAAGTGGTGGAGGCGAGCGGTGCAATCAGTCCACTGGGTGGGTTAACCAGGAACTTGTGAGGGGACGAGGTCTGGATCTTGAACGCTACTGGGGAAGTGGAAGAGAGCGACTTAATGTGAATATCAGTGCGACATTTGCAGCCTAATGCGAACTCTATGCGAATTTCTTGTTCAGACACTTCAACCAGCTTTTCCATTTTCACAATAGTTGATTATTCGGTGGAGTTGAAAAGTGAAGCATAAATTCTCCTGCTAATAAGAACATGTGAGTGATACTGTACTATTATGGTCATGTGATTGTGTGGTGGTCTCTAGCGAAAATGATAAAATGTTGATGATACGTCGAATAATGGAATTGGGCAATTTA